GATAGAAGACTGTAGGTGGGTGATATTCAAGCAGAAAAATATCCTTATTAAAATATTTGCATGTGAATTCTGAAAACATCAATTCACAAAACAGTTATGCCAGGAAGATCTGAAAGATTGAGACATTCAGTGTTGTTTTAAGCAAAATAATTAACTTCTAGTGCACAAACTTCCCTCCTGAAATCCATTGAGGGAGCAGATGCCCAAATATTCATGGCATTAGATTAAGAGAATGGTACTTGCTTTTCCTCCAAGCACCAGATGGTTCCAAAATCCAAAATCAATGGAGAGGAAATCCTGAATTTATTTGGTTTTCATAGTTCTCATTGAGGGTTTGTGAAAAATATCATATTTTGTTACATAGTAGACAAATGAAAATTAATTTTACAACAGACTCCTATTTCACAAAGAGAAATGATCAAGGACTAGAGAGAGCCCTAACTGTTACTTATCACATTTTAGGGCATCCGTAAGTTGTTACCTTGATAAGCACAGGACACAGTTCATTTATAAACCAATACTGAAATTAAGAAAATGATTTATCTTGCTCATTTTGTTTGATTTATAACACAAATACCAGAGAAGCATTTTGCAAAACAAGGAAAAAATTAGAAAAATATAGAATGCTCCTCTAGCGGAAGGATATTTTCCTTAAACACAATCTAAACTTAATTTACTAACAATGTCTGCAGTTCAGATGGATAAAGGTGGTTCATTTGCATAAGAAAACTTTGATAGGATTAAAAAACTTCTGAGAGGGAATGTATGAACAAGTAGAAATGAGAGAACTTTAATTTAATACAACATATATTTGTCCAACCTTGATATCCAAGGCACTGGACATAGCCCAAGGGAACCATGATAAAAACAGAAGTACCGCCTCCCGGAACCTACTGGATCTTGTCAGGAAACTGTGCAGTTATATTATTAGGTCAAGGGTACCCTGTTTCTGATTTTTTATTTTTTGTCCTCCAAATACAAATTTGGTAGACTCTGCCTTTGAGAGCAAAGTGGGAAAATATTTCATTCTTCTTTAGTGAGTTTTTAAAAATCCATCTTGTGACAAAAACATTTGCTTAAAAAGAAAGTATACTATAAGTAAAAGAAGTTTAAGTAAAACTTGGGAGTAAAGCATAAGAGAGGTAAAAAGTATATACAAGGAGTATAAATACGAATTTTTTTTTTTTTAAAGGAAGGAAAGCAGAGAGGTGAGGAATGAGCAAGGAAAAAGTGGCCAAGACCTTGAGGGGCTGAGGGTGGGCATGACACCATCTCTCTGGTCATATGCAGGGAGACTTGAGCTCAGGATCATGCAGATTGGACTCCTCTCTCAGAGTCCTGACTAGTTCTAAGGGATGGAGAATGAGGAAGTTAGAGCAGGAAAGAGGTAGGTGTGTGTGGGGGGGGGGGGAGGGAGAGAAGTCATAAGCACATTGACCTTTTGGTTCTTAATTGCTTTCATATAAATTGAAACAAAATGGGAAGTGTAATGGAGTGGAAGAGAGATAAGTTTCACATTAAGACATTAAAAGATTACTAAGGTAAAGGATTGCTTGCTTGTAAAAAGTGACAGAAAAATCAAAATGTGCGTCTAAATGAAATATGAAATTGAATAACAAAGAACAAAATGACCAGGATTTAAGAAAATTCAATCACAAAAGCAAATTAGTCTGCTCTAATTACTTAGAGTTAAATTGTGAATGATTAGCTTGAACTTAACAGCACTGTGGTGAGGATGCAAGCTAATTTACTAAAAGCCGTTATCATACACAGTACATAATTATTTTGAAATTGTTCACGATACAGAGATTTGTTTCTTGGAAGCAATGATAGTTGGCAATTTAGACCTAACAGAAAATTGAAATTTTATAAGGAAATGTCTAAAATGATCTTAGGCTCAGTGATTAAAAAGATACATAGGTTATCTTTAATGTTTTATCCATGCTCTAAAATATTTCACATCAATAAAAAGGTTGAGTTCTATGTATGTATTGCACTTTAACTTCTCCAAAAAGACTCCTATTCGGGAAATAGTTCCTTTTACAACCAATAACTGCTAGCAAAAATGATGACTTTTAGACACATATTAAATAAAACACATTAAAAATCTATAAAAAATAGGCAGGTAAATAGAATTGTTCAAATTTAGTAGTTACTCTCATGTTTGGAAGACATTTTAGTATGCCCAGTTAACCAAGGAAGTGAACTATTGTTAATTCTTGCTTTCCATTTGTATTGCCCTGATAGCAGTCCAGACTTACACCATTCGGGTAGTGACCAGGAAAAGTCATTGAGACAATTCCTAAGGAATTTTGTTAAAGTAATTTCGTTCTGGACATGGATCTTTAAAGACTGGATCTGTGCCATATTCATTTCTGTATTTCTATCACCTAGCACAGTGCTTGAATCATAATCTTTATTGTGCAAATACCGATGAAAAGACCAAGGTTCAAATCCTAGTTCTACCAATTATGAGCCAGGAACTAATGTTCAACTTACTTACTTCTAATTGGTAGTTCATTCACCTGTAGAGGAGATAAAATAGCTATCTGTTAAAACTGTTAGGATTAAATTAGATTCCCAGGACAGTGTTAGGGATATAATAGAACTTAATAAATGATATGTATTTTTCATAGTATCATAAAGTAGGCAGGCATCAAACTGCCCATATGTGGCTCATTGCTCTACTCACACCTTGATCTTGATGGGGCTTGTCTATTCCTGTGGCTGCCTATTGACATATTACTTCTTAAACACTCGAATGAGGTTCTACATGTCTTTTGGATTGCTAAAGGCATTTCTAGGCAAGAATTTTACTTCAGGGCCCTAGAAGAACTATAGCTTTTGGTCCTTGCCAAATACGTTCAGGCTTACATAAGTGAACTAACCTGCTCAAAGCAACTTCCTTGAGGGCTTTTAATTGTGTTGAACTGACTGCAGAATTTTCTGAGGCTGTGTTGATACTGGTCAGCTCGACTGGTCACATAGAAATCCTGGACAGTAGATTAGGCCAAACTCATAATAGCTTGTTAGGGTCTATAAACAAGTCAGGATGGCGCCTGGCATTTTGCCAGGGGGAGTGGTTTGTGAAGCAACGCCAGTGAGCCATGAAGTGTGGAGATTCCTTATTGGTTGACTGCTGTATCTAGTTTATGCTAATTAATATAAGCTGTGTGTAATGTATAAATACCCCTCCGGTCCTACAATAAACGGCTCCCACTCCTGCTGTATCAATGTATACAAGTTGCTCGTCACCCCCGCGTTATTTTGCTGCAGCCGGACTGTGGCAATAGCTAGCCAGAGCTTTGTTAAGATTTTTAAAAAATCTTAGCTATCAATGAATGAACTGGTGTCATTAAGATGATGCCTCGTAAATAGGACATGTTCACTCAAGTCTCTTCAGCCCAGCTCTTGATCATGCACTAAAAGCCCTTTAAAAGGAATATTAGAGGAATTGGCCATATGACTCCAGTATACAGCTATCTGAGTTCCTTGTCAACCAACATCCAACTGTCTCCTCATCATTTAGGAAAATCCATGCCTTCACCAGGATAGCCAATGGGGAGAATCAAGGGTCACTTTCACCAAGATTTTATTTTCATAATATTTTAAACTATTTCCACTTTCCTTGATAAATTTGAGAGTATTGTGGCTTATCTAGTGCAGTTAGAAATCAGTTTTTAAAGACCTGATAATGATAAATCTAAGCTTAGGTCCATTCATCTGGAGGACTTCCTTGTGCCCCCTCAGTTTCTAGGTTGAACCAACTTTTATCCTGACTAACTAGTCTCTTAGTGCTTTCCAATTTATGTAAAAATCATCTATTTATTTATTTGTCATTTTCATCAAGTTAAATTCTTCCCAAAGGCAAAAAAAATATTTTTCTATCATCAGCATTTAGCAATGTATCTGGTACCTAATAGGTATTGTAACTTCTGGACTGATTATATAATCAGTGACTGATTATTCACTTAGCAGAGACATAAAGGATCTCTTGTAGCAAAATTCTTTTGTATTCTTAGAGTATATTTCAACATATACAGTTTTTAGAGGATTCATACCTTTAATAAAATAAAATTAAAAATTTAGACCTACATAAATTATTAATATACATAATCAGGTAACATGGCAAAGCATAGCAATGATTATGAATTATAAATCTAAGAGGTTGGGAGTTAACTACTATATTATTCCCTGGATTGGCCCCATTCATGGAAGGCATTCAACTCATCTGATTCAACAAAAGAAGAAAAATTTCTCTTGATTGCAAGAGAATTCCAATTATAAATGTGTCACATTTTTCTTCAACAGGAAAATAATTTGTTTTTTTTTTTCCTGGTCGAAGTATTTTCATCAATGCTAACTTCTGAGCTTCCCTTTCTGAGATCAGATATTGCAAAAGATACCAAAAGATTCATATAGAATTACCAGCTGCTATACTTGAAATTTTGTGAATACCTATTTCAAAAAACATTTTGAAGCTTTTAAAGTAGATTCTCATATAAAAATAGGCAGATCTCCTTTTTATTCAAATAAACATGATATTTAGAAGAATGATGCCTGTGGTTATGACATGAAATATAGCCTCTCATATTCATAACATGTCCTCCATTCATCTTAGGTAATACCAGGAAATGATAAAGCAATTTCTTCGTGGACAATGAAACAAAATAATCCTTATCTGCAAAACTTTCTTCTAACAGTGAGAATGGCAGCAAAACCAACAAAAGTGACAACAAAAACCATTATAGCAAGGTATTAGAACATCAGAACACAGACGAAATTATCTTGCAATTAGTCATGTCTATCTGACAGATTTCTAAGGGAATTTGTGCAAAGCATTTTATTTCAAGCCTCAAAGATTTTGATAAAAGAAAAAGGGAAACTGCAGTTTTTGCCACAAAAAGACAGGTGGCGTAAGCATGCAACACTTTAAAAAATACATAAAGTGATTATTTTCTCTGGGATCCTTTGAAAAAGCTCTCTTGTGCTGGGGTTTGTGGCTGAGCCGGTGACGTCAGTGTGCAGTGCGGAGTCAGGCGCGGCGGCTCCCTATAAGCCGAGGAGCTGTCCGGGTGCTGAAACGGCCCGAGGAGCTCAGCCTGCGGACCAGGAGGAACATGCTGTGGACCTTCCCTGCCCTGTAAGACAGAGGTAAGGCTGCTTTTCTCTTGGATTTACTGGAAAGTTGCGAACTGCGTGTTTTCCCCTCAATTCCTAGCTGAGAAGAAAAAAACGAACGCTTGACAAGCTTATAATCGATAGAAAACTGAAGAGCAACCTGCTGCTCTTCCGCCAATGTAAGGATACCATATGTGTATGTCTATGATTGCGTCTGTGATTTCTCCTACTCGCTGTTGGCTATTTATTAACTTAAATGCTATTAGATAACCCTATGTAAAAAGAGTGAAAAGTTAAGGATTTTAGTGCCAATACATATATTAACGTAAAGTTGACCACACCTGATATTTTTGTTTCCTTCCTTAATGTGTGGTTGCTTAAGAGCCAGATACAAACCCAGGGATATAATTTATGTGCTTAATATTCGTAACAGTAGGTTACCAACGATTCAAAGGCTGTTAGACACATTAGTCATAGAGAAAACCAATTTAGAACTATTCTTTCCTTCCATGCTTACCTTATAAGAGCTCTAAATTAACTAACTATATTTAATTATTCTGAAATGGTAATATTAAGGGCTTCCATTATTATCTCTAAATTGTAGTCCTAGGGAAGTAGCTTAGAATGATCATAAAAACAGACTTCTTCCTTTTTCTAGGGTGAAATAGTATCTTGGGGTATAGGTTAGATATGACCATGAATTATAGAGAAATGATGATGTTGAATACATGTTGAGAACATTCATAACTGTACAAATTATTACTGGAATTATTGTTCTTTGATTGAAAGAGATTGTACAATACTTTGCTAAAGATTTTGATTTGGATCAAGTTTCTTTTTTATCTCAACTAGTTGAATTGCTCAAATTAGATATATCCACATGTGTTACTGCTCCATTGTTGATGTTCCTGTCTGATTTTGGTATAAATGACGTTTTAACTTAACATATTTTAATGATAGCTATCAAGTGACCTTGATAGAAAATAAAATTTTAACTCAAACCCTGTATCATATATTAGAGCTGTTGAGCTGCAACCAGGGAAAGAAATCTTTTGAGTCTGAAAGGCTGTGACTATGTCATCCAAACTGAATCGGGATAAATGACCAAAGGGTAGTACTTGTTAGCTGTGGTTTAAACAACTGCAATGAGTATTTCACTCCGACTTTACAGCAAAACCTACTTCCAAAGAACCAATTTTAAAGACAAGCACATAATCCATATATTAACAATAACTAAAGAAAATAGTTTCCAAGAAAATAATTTCAATCAGGTTTTTAAGATTACTATTTAAAAAGCCAGTATTGAAAATGATTACCAAAAGTAAATTAATCTTGAAATAATATGAAGAGGGATGTATAATATGTATAATGTACTTAAACCTAAGAATTTTATGAATAAAATTATAGTACACACTTATTCAGGGCAAATATTTTGGATGTATTATTTGAAATACCTTTAGAGGCTTTTCTTTCAGTTAACTAAGTAAATGAGTTAATAGGGATTATTTTAATAGAAGTAATGTAACTGTGTAAAGTTTCTATAATTATACTATTTTTAAGCTTTAAAACTGAAAACATTAATTCCTGATATGACCTAGTGAACAATGGCACTTTCCACAATTGATTTCAAATGTAACAGAAAATTTTGCATGTATATCTTATCTATCACAAAACCATGATCTGGTAAAGACATGAACAAATTTGTGAACTTATTTTAAATGAATTTTATTTACAATTAAATTGCTGTTGAAATAGCTTTTCAACATTAGAAATGCCAAATATAAAACATGTAAAAACTAATCCTCTTGCTAATTCATGAGAATTTTAAAGAGCTGGAGAAAAAAAAATGAATGAAGAGTTTTAAGTAGGAAGAATTCAACACATTGTCTGTGTTTATCTAAATTGGGATTTACATAGTAGTTATTTTAAGCTTTTTTTTTTAACAGTATGAGTCATTTTAAGATTTCACAGGTCCACACAAAAATAGACACAGACATAAGACAAACTGAATCTGAGCACTCACAAGTTTAGAAATAGACTAGTTAAGTAAACTTATGTTCTCTCTGTAACATCTGTTATTATTTACTATACACTCTTGAGGGCTGATGAAAAATATAACCATAATTGTGTTTTGCAAGTAGTCATAATTTAATTATTAGAAGAAATATGGAGCACAGAGATTTTGCTGACACAGAAAGAAACTGTATTGGTTGAGCCTACTTGCTATGACCTGAAGAAGGTTATTAATTGCTAGATGGATTTGATGTCAGAGTAAGAAAAATTATTTCTGAAAAATATCCATATGATATCCATCTAGAAATTCCATACAATTGACACTAATATACTGAATAGCATCAATATATATAGCAAATTGACACTAATATACTGTATAGTATCAATATATAACAACTGCTTCTGTTGTGTTTCTACAACAAAAATTGATGAATAATTCATAAAACAAACCACATGTTTTTTGTTACAATCTTAATGATAAAATTGTGTGTGTACCTGTGTGTTTTATAACAAATTATTTTGCCAATCTTTTTACTATAATGCTATATGAGATAACTGCAATTTATCTTGGAGAGTTTTTTCTCTTTTATTAAAAAAACAACATGTACTAAAAATCAAACTATAAGTTTTAGAAATGAAACAATTTGAGAAAACTCATGACAGTGTTTTTGTTACTGTTTTAACTGAGGAAACTATGCAAGTTTGATGCAAATGAGTGGCAATTTTGCTAAAGATTCCTGGAGTTAGTTTGGGAGAATCACATGGAAGATAATTTGTGGACTTTAGAGAGCTATCTTCAGTGCAATGTGAAATTGTCTCGTCTTTTTTTTTTTTCTGCTCAGTGGTCTATTTGTTTTGCTATAGTGTCTTCTAGTCAGTCTCATTTGTCTTAATTCATGTTTTCTATGCTTTAAGGAAATCTTTAAAACATGGCAGAAGCTAAGACCCACCAGCTTGGAGCAGCCCTGTCTCTTATCCATTTAATTTTCTTCATCTCTGGAGTTGAGGCAGCTTCATTTCAGAGAAACCAGCTTCTTCAGAAAGAACCAGACCCAAGATTGGAAAATGCCCAAAAGTTTCCCAGTCCCGAGATGATCAGGGCTTTGGAGTACATAGAAAAGCTCCGGCAGCAAGCTCACAAAGAAGAAAGCAGCCCAGACTATAATCCCTACCAAGGTGTCTCTGTTCCCCTTCAGCCAAAAGAAAATGGTGAGGAAAGCCACCTGCTGGAGAGCTCAAGGGATTCGCTGAGCGAAGATGAGTGGATGAAGATAATCCTTGAAGCTCTGAGGCAGGCAGAAAGTGAGCCTCAATCTGTACTGAAAGAAAACAAGCCCTATGCCGTGAATTCGGAAAAGAACTTCCCAGGGGATGTGACGGATGATTACGAAACTCAACAGTGGCCAGAGAGGAAGCTCAAGCACATGCGATTCCCTCTGATGTATGAAGAGAATTCCAGGGACAACCCCTTCAAACGCACAAATGAAATAGTAGAGGAACAGTACACACCTCAAAGTCTTGCTACCCTGGAGTCTGTCTTCCAAGAGCTGGGGAAACTGACAGGACCAAACAACCAGAAAAGGGAGAGGGCTGATGAGGAGCAAAAGCTGTACACAGACGACGAAGATGACATCTATAAGGCCAGTAACATCGCCTATGAAGATGTGGTCGGGGGAGAAGATTGGAACCCAGTGGAGGAGAAAATAGAGACTCACACCCAGGAAGAGGTGAGGGACAGCAAAGAGAACATGGGAAAAAATGAACAAGTCAATGAAGAAATGAAGCGTTCGGGGCAGCAGGGGCTCCAGGATGAAGATCTCCAGAAAGAGAATAAAGTCCAGCTCTCAGACGACGTTGCCAAAGTAATCGCCTATTTGAAAAGGTTAGTGAGTGCCGCAGGGGGTGGGAGGTCTCAGAATGGGCAAAATGGGGAAAGAGCAGCCAAGCTCTTTGAGAAACCACTCGATTCTCAGTCTATTTATCAGTTGATTGAAATCTCCAGGAATTTACAGATACCCCCTGAAGACCTGATCGACATGCTCAAAACTGGGGAGAAGCCAAGTGGGTCAGTGGAGCCTGAGCAGGACCTCGACCTTCCTGCTGACCTAGACGATGTTTCAGAGGCTGACTTAGACCATCCGGACCTGTTCCCAAATAAGATGCTCTCCAAGAGTGGGTACCCCAAGACACCTGGTCATGCCGTGACAGAGGCCTTACCAGATGGACTCAGTGTTGAGGACATTTTAAATCTTTTAGGGATGGAGAGTGCAACCAATCAAAAGCCTCCATATTTTCCCAATCAGTATAACAGAGAGAAGGTTCTGCTGAGGCTCCCCTACGGTCCTGGAAGATCTAGAGCAAACCAGCTTCCCAAAGCTGCCTGGATGCCTGATGTTGAAAACAGACAAGTGGCCTTCGAAAACCCGAATGACAAGGACCAAGAGTTAGGAGAGTACTTGGCCCGGATGCTGGTGAAGTACCCTGAGATCATGAATTCAAACCAGGTGAAGCGAGTGCCCAGTCCAGGCTCATCTGAAGATGACCTACAGGAAGAAGACCAACTGGAGCAGGTAATCAAGGAGCATTTGAGCCAAGGCAACTCTCAGGAGACTGAGAAACCGTCCCCGGTGAGCAAGAGATTCCCGGTGGGGTCCCCGAAGAATGACGACACCCCGAACAGACAGTACTTGGATGAAGACCTGCTAATGAAAGTTCTGGAGTACCTCAACCAAGAAAAGGCAGAAAAGGGGAGGGAGCACGTTGCAAAGCGAGCCATGGAAAATATGTAGGCGGCTTTCCTCAACTGCCCAATTTTCACTCCTCTCACCCCAAGTGAACCCCAGCATTTCTCTTTAGTGTGTTGACTTCTATCCTGTTAACACTGTACTATCTTTAAATGATGTACAGGCAGATGATTCCAGGTCACTGGGGAGTCTGCTTCACTCGCTCTGAGTTGTTCTCTTGTGTATGGATCTGTGTAAATGTTATGACTCTGGATTAAAAAAATTATTATGTCCTTTATTCAAGAAAGATATCTATGATAGTGTTTAACAGTGTATCTAATGGCTGTGGCATTGTTGATGCTCACATATGATAAAGAGTGTCCTATAATTCTCTTGAAAATTTTTAAGATTTACTGAATTATTTTGTTACTGTCTGTAGTGTTTTGTGGAGTACTGGAGCAAAACCAATAAAGCATTATAAATATATAGTTTTACTTATAAGGCCTTTTCTATTGTGTGTTTTATTGTTGGTTAATAAATGTTATTTCTGGGCACCTTTGGACTCTTCATTCTGGAAAACCAGAACTGATGGCTGTGGAGCAAGCTGTATGGACCCAAGAGAGAAAATTATTCCTCTCCCTGGCAATCCAGGTAAGAGATAATGGGATGGATATGTGTTCATGCTATCTGCCTGCAGGAAGCAGCATCTTCTAACAGCCCACTGTTTATGCTTCCCCACGGTGTTACACACATATATCATTTATGGGATAAACATTTTGGTGTAGTATTTATGTCTCTCACCCTTGATTTATAAAAATAAAGACATTTAAATCTTTCATACCCATAACCACTTTAAAACAAACAAATTTAAAAGAGTGAGAGAATAGAATATGTGGCAAGCACAAATGTCTACAAAGTTGAAAGCAACCTGCCTATTCCCAGGATGCTTTGGTCCCCAGAAGACAAGGCTGTAGCCAGAGGCTCTCCAAACTGACCATTAGGCAAGTGACAGGGCACAATTGCAGGGGAATGACCAAGTGCCCTCTCTGCTGCCTGGTGGACTAGGTAGTGCGTAATCATCACAGTGTGTGTCAAATAAATAGTCATTACACATGATGTCCTGATGGCATGGCAGGCATTATACTAAACACTTTGCAGACTTTAGCTCATTTAGTACACTCTACGTCACTGTCGGGTCTGTTTCTAGCATCACCCCACTTTCCCTTTATATGTGGGAAAACAAAACAGAAAATTTGAATATCTTTCCCCAAGTCGTCCAGCATTTAGAATTGTCAATGTTTGTTTTTAATCATTTTACCACATTGCCTGTCTGGGAGGTGCCCTTTGAGCTGAGGGTTGCGACTCGGGAAGTGGGATAGTGATAGCTCATGTGGTTTCACATGGGTACTTCCAAAGGAGAGCCCATTTGTGTGTGTGTGTGCACGCGTGTGTGTATGGGGGGGACCCCTGAGCTGACAAAAGGTAACCTTGGGAGGGCCTGGATGCCTTGGGGAAAATACTGAATGTAGGTTTTCCTACTTTCTTCCCAGACTATTTTCCATTCAATTTTCGGACAATTTCATGGAATTTTGGAATCTGTGGGTGGAGGAGGCCTTGGAGGTGATTATCCCTACAGAGTTTCTCACGAGTGTCCTTGCTCTCTAATACTTTCAAGATAGGCCATTACTACCCCACAGGCAGTGCTATGAAGTAGACACTGCGGATGCCTGTCTGCAGAAAGCACTTCTGCATGGGGTACCAGTTAATTTTCTACAAAGCCCTTGGAGATCAAGGTTATTCTTATCTGTGGAAACTCAGAAGGGTGAGATAAGCTGCCACTGTTGTACACCCGGTTAGTGGTGGAGTGGGACTTTAACCTGTAATCAACCATTATCCTCCTAACTGTGCCCTTCCACTTGGGCCTGATGCTTTGCTGTGAATAGAGTCAGATGTATGGGGGTTAAACAAGAGCAAGCTGGAGCTCCTTCAAATGGAGAAAACTGGGGCAATATGCAGTTTAAAATCTAGGGAACATATTTATACACCATACTTTTTCAGCCTCCATATACATCACTCAACCACTGTATACTCTCTAATTTTCTGTATCATGCAGTAAGCTCTTCCCTGGATTCTAAGTCTACTGGGATATTTCCACCCCAGCCCAAAGCAAAAACAAGAATGAGGCACCTGCATTTCCACCCAACAGAATTTTGTCACTATGATGTTTAAATACTTTATTGAGAAATCAGGCAACAAGAGCAAGTTAACTAACAGACACAGCTAACAAATCTCCAGGTTGGGATTTATACACAGATGGGTGGGGATGCAGACCCTTACTCTCCGCTGCATGGAGTTTCCCTCTTGAAGCCTTAGCTGGGCTTGCAGTTCCATGACTCTCTAAGGGAGACATTTAGACACCAAGATTGGCAGTTGGAAGATATTTTAATCTGGGATATATATGTTCTGCCTGACCTCCCCAGTGATTGGTGGTGGAGTGGTACTCCAAGACATCAGTCAGCAAGCATCTTTGCCTTTTTGTAGTAACATAATGTTCCCAGCTATTGACTCATCAGACTAACTTATGCCTGATCCAAAGCTTTTATTTTTCATAAGTACTTCAGTATGTTTCTCCCTACCCTAAGAAAGGAAAGTTCTATTCAAGGATGTGGATGACACATTAGTTGATATGAAAGCAACACGTTGGCTCCTCTCCCTGTCAGAAACCTCCTTCATCAGAAGTCAAAGGTAGCTCAAGCCTTCCAAGCAGAGAGCCCCTGCAGGTTACCACCAGGAAGAGAGAGAAACTGTACACTAAAACTGCCCCACGCCTTTTCAGAAGTCCATCTCTGCATCAGTGGGAATCAGATGGGAGCCTGGCATTCTGTAGACTCCCTGCAAGACCCTCACCTGCCAAACCTTCCCTCCCCTACATGCTTGTGGCTTGTGGGGACAGTTAGAACCCATCTGAACATGCTCTTTGTAACAAGACTTCCAAGTCACTCTTCATCTGCTGTACTCAAACTTCTCTAAACTTTGCACAGCACCTTCCTGAGCCCCAGCTTGTACTCCTCCACATATTCAATGAAGTTTCTCTTTATGCCAATTAATACTCAAGATTACATAAGCAAAATACTCTGCACCATCAATTTCTGTGACAATGCTTTTCAATTTCTTCCTTTCCACAAAGGTGGCAGATTCCCTTACAGATTCTCTTCCTTTCTTTTTGCTAATTCCAGTACGTTTTCCTTCTCTCTTCCATAAAAATATTCACATATGAATTTCATGCCAGCTCTTACTGTCCCTCGTGGCTGTCTTGATCTACCTCCCAGGTCACTTCCCCTCATTCATGGAAGACAGCTGCTCCTGCCCTCTGTCACACTTTCTAGCACTGTTTGTCTAAACGCTTGTTGATTTCCATATCCACGAAGACAATCTTTCCAGTTCCCCAGGCTTCATTCTCTATTTTCCCTCTGTATGTTCATGTCATTCTTTCTTGTTAAGAACTGCAACCCATCTTCAATCTCAATTCTGAGCATTTCTTTCTAACACTCAGCTTATATTTTTTCAGTGCTCTTCCTCTACCACCTCAGTTCCAATAATCCTTCCAACCACCAAAAAAAAAAAAAAATGGAATCCATTGACCGCCTTTTGAGTCCTGCTCATCTCCTTTACTCTTGGCCATCCACCTTGTTCAGTATACATTTCCAGGTTAGTCATCAACATCACTCCCTTGCAAACATTCTTACCTCTCTTCTGTCTCATGTTTTATTGTAATGTTTTTTGCTGAACAACTTCAGTAAGTTCAATTTGTACTTATTTATCCCTCCTCTCTTACCATTGAAGTTAGCAGGAGCAAGACACATAACTGCCTTGGCAGATACCTGTTCATGACCTTCCAGTGGCCCGTAATGCTGCTCCTCTGTAGTTGTCAGAGGTCCTTAATTTAGTCATCTCCCATTCCTTAGCCAATAGTACCATAGTTTTCACTCTGAAAATTTCCACAATCAATGCTCCCAGATAATTATCTGGTTTTCGCTTTTACTGAGGAAAAAAAAAAAAGGAGCATCCCAAGAAGGACTACGGATCCTCACCTTCACTTGGGCCCACCACCTGCATCTGTGACAATGTGGTCTACTTTCCTGTTTTTGATTTTTGGTTGACTGATCTGTGGTTCCGTCTTTATTAACCCCTCACTTGTGCACTGGATCCTGACTTCTCCCTTACTCAAGAAACTTGTTTCGGCAATTGTCCACTTTTTCTTCTTTACTCAGTCATTCCTATCAGCCTACAAAGGGGCTTCTTTCTCTTGGCTGCAAAACCAACCAGAAAAGCAAATAAAAGTTCTCTCCGGATCCCTTTTGCCCTATACCTGCCACCCCAGGCCTCCTCTTCCCGTTGCAGAAAAATCCCATTAAAGAGTGGTGTGTCCTCATCCAGATTCTCCCCGTCCATAGAATTAGATCTTTTCAGTTTTAATTATAAAATTATAAAATCTGATATCAGATTCCAGTCCTCACCTTCTATGACTTAGTAGTCTTTGACAATGACATCATCTTTTAACTTTTAAACACCTCCTTTGCTTGGTTCAGGCCACTGATCATGCCGCCTCTCTCTATCTCACTGGCTACTCTTTCTCAGTCTCCTCTGCGTCTTCTTGATCTCCAGTATTGGAGACCAGAGTTCAGACCTTGTAACCCTTGGATGATCCCATCAATCGTTCTAGCTTTCACTACCAACAACTGTTTGATAACTGCCAAATCTGTATGTCTAGCTCATGTTTCTGTGAATGCCACACTTAAAAATTCAACTCTCTAGATGACATTGGCACTCGGGTGACTAATAGATATCTCAAATGTAACATCTATAGAAGATTTTTTTTTTTTTTTTGGTGGTGCTGGGGATTGAAGCCAGAGCCTTGTGCATGCAAGGCAAGCACTCTATCAACTGAGCTATATCCCCAGCCCAGTTTAATTCTTGATTTCCACTCTTGACAAAATTCTGGCTCCTCTCACAGACTTTTCTACCCCAGCCACTCAGCCTAAAGCAAATGTTTGTCACTTATTACTTTCATCAGTGACTCTGCTTTTTGTCTTATAATCCATTTATTACTGGCAGTAAATCTTGTTCCAAACTCAAAATAAATCCACATTTTCTCACACCATCCATTGTTACAAGCGTTCTATAAACTGTGATCTTCTCTCAACCATGTCAGATCTGTCTTTTCACCACATTTTCAAGGTAGCCACCATTATGATCCAATGGTGACCTAGACAAGATGACATGTAGCCCAAGGACCAACTTTATTGTGCTGATCTGCAATGACTTACACGATCCAGCTCTGAATTAAATTCCGGGCACTTTCCCCACTGCTCTATCCTTCTCTTCTACAATGGTCTCCTCCTTGTGCTTCAAAATGCCATGCTTATTCCTCCTCCAGACTCTTGCATTTCCTGTTCCTCTTTCAGAAATGCTATTTCCTCAAAGAA